CCGCCGGCCTTCCCCCGCTGAGGGACCGGGGGTCTTGGGGTGCTCCTCTCCGGGGTACCGGGAGGGAGAAGGGGGCGCAGCCTAAGGCCTCGGCCCCCCGCGGCCGTGCCGGCTGGCGCTGATGGCGCCGCGGGAGAGCTCCGTTTACCACGGCTGCCCCTCGAGCCATCGGTACTTTGTATCTGTACACAGCCGTGTGGCTCACGCACACACACACACACACACACGCATATACTCGACCCGAAAGACTTTCCTGCGGCCCCGCACCTCCCCGTTGAGGGCACACGCGTGAGCAGTGTAGCGAGAAGCTGGCCCGGCCCTACCACGCAAAACCTGTCGATGTTTTCCTAGTGGCTTTCTGTTAAAAACGCCGTAGCAGAATGTAAATTGCACACAGGAGCTACAAGAGAGCGACAAAACAAGCCCAAGCTTTCTACTTTCCCCCAGTTTGCAGCGTCCCCGTCCTAAGAGTTCTCTGAGGTCAGAATCAGCATTAAAAGCCCATAAAGCGCCGTGAATTGGCACTCTGGAAAAACCGTGAGAAAAACGCAGTGGTGGACAGAAAAATTGAGTTTGCAGGGGAATTTATTCCTTGTATGAAGAAGTGAGAACGGCTGTAGTTTTAAACATTTACAAAACGAGGTATCAAAGAGTCTTCTGTATATTTCCACACTGAAAGCTGTAATGCAGGTCACCTGCAAAGATAAAATTCAGCGGAGGAGAGCTGTTGAAATTTCCTTTAAAGTGAATTGTATTGGAAGAGAAATACTTTGTTTCAGCTACGAATGTATAGAAGCTTCCACTGCGCCAGATGAGAAGTAGCTCTGAACTCTCCACCAGCTAGCTAAAGCACAAATTCACGTCCAATTAGTGATTTTCATATGAAGGATGTAATTTAATACGTTTTTAATTCTGTTTGGGAGCAAGTCTGTTTTCTCTAGCGTAACACTGAGCAAATATCTATCTCGTGCCGGCCCTGCCTTACATGATACCACATGGTGATAACAGGGCGGGCATGTCCCTCGAGGCCTCTGGTGAAGTCTGGGGCCAAAGCGGAACCGCAGCAAACAGAAACACACGTCATCTTGAGATCTTCAGGGTGAGAAGGGATGGGTGAAGACATTTCAAAGCAAAAGCCAAACTATTCACCTCCTGGCTTGCATAAGCACAACAGCACCCCTAAAATGTCATTTATAAATTTCTTCCTTAGGTGAAATTGATGGAAAATTCAATATTTACGATATTCTAATAAAGTAAGGCAACTCGGGCAATACATTTCTAATTTTCAGTCAAGCCAATTCATATATAGGCCATCAGCTCACCAGAATTTACAGCATGGTTAAGTGTGGTGAGAGAAGAATTATACATTTCATTTTCAGGCCTCTCAAACATTTGGAGTCTCAAAAGGAAGTGAAGAAATCCACGAACTCAGAGGGGAAGGACAAAATTAATTTTTCTCTTAGATAAAGGCAGCAAGTTAAATGCAAGGTGTAGTGATGTGTGCAAGAAGGTGTAAACACAGAAGACTGAAAAGAAAGGTTTTCTTCCTGCTAACATCAGCTATTCAGAGCAGTAATAAGAAGAAACTTAATAAAATACTTGTGAGATAACAAGTTTGCTAAAGTTGCTTTAAGTTCAATTTTTTTTGGAACACCACTTCTCTGAAAGTCTGCTTCAGTGGTATCTGCCCTAGCACACAATGATGTTTTTAGGCCACAAACAGAGGACTGGGGTTGACTCAATGAGGTCCTCTCTGCTGGAGCTCTCCTGACAGATTTCCTCTCTTATGCCACAGGGGAAAAAAAAACAAACAAACAAACAAAAAAAAAGCCTTTACTCAGTCTGAACAATGGTTTCAAGCGGTTTCAAGGGATTGCAGGTATACAGGACTGTGGAGGGGAAAAGATCACTGCAGTTCCTCTTGCACAAAGATCCACCCGAGGTTATGAGCAGAGTGGGTGAATGTTAAATCCTGTGCCAGCTGCTGACAAAGCATGTGATCAACCACTCTTTTTTCTTCCCCCCCACCCCGAAACCAGTGCACTACTGTTATGTAACCCTGCTGTAAGTCTAAGTGAATTTCAGTGCTGTTGCATGGTATTACTAAAGCAATTCAGATGAGTATATCCTCAGTCTGACTGCTGTTAACAGCAAGAGGTGTAAGGCAGATTTGGGATTACCATCTCTATATCATTTGTTCTACTTTAAAAGTTGATATAATGCAGAGAATCTCATGTGAGCAGGTCTCCTCACTGTGCTGCTTTGTTACACAGAGCAACAACAGTAATTTCTTCACAAAATTAAGAATTTGCATAATTGCAGATCCGGTAAAACTGAACAGTATCCTACACATAGTATAATAAAGAGCTTTTTGCTTTAGCAAGATCATGGGAGTTACACACCTTTTTCATTTACAGTATTCCTGCGAAGCGGCCTGGTCACTCTAGGGGAAGTGATGCCCTTCACCCTTCCCAGTTTACCCACTGCACTACTACTAGTTCAAAATTACCAAAGCGAATCCAGGGAATACATCATAAGCATCATTTAAACTGTTTCCAGAAGCGAGTGCTGAACTAAAGGCTGATTTCTATATGGTGAAAGCTTATTTCTAGATGAGCAGCGTTCTTCTCCAGCCTGACAGTGGAACCAGAACAGGATAAAATCAGTTTCTCCAGCCAATTAGTATTGGCTGAAACACCCAGGATATTTCACAGTAATAAAGCAATTCCATCCTGAAATAGCCCACAGACTAGGAGAGATGTTGGAGAGTCAAATCAATCCTTAGGATTTATCCTAAGGAACAGCCTTAACGTAAATTTTATTTTGTTTCCTCTTTCTAAGCTCTGTGAAGCAGAGCAGTGCCCTGGCCTCACCCAGCCTCAGGGCAGGGCTCTATGGCACTTTGCCGGCCTCACGGTGGTTCTTTGACTGCTTGGCATCAGCTCTGAGAGCGGAGGAGGGCTGTGCAAGGCATCCAGGGTTCGGTCAGACCTATTACGTCTCCTATAGTAATGAATGCGCGCTAAATTTT